TTTTGGTGGATTTAACCCAAGGTTGTCAATCCACTGTCTATATAGCCTTGACCGGCACTGTCAAAAACTTTCCATTGCATAGGCTCAGAAGACATTTATGTACAAGCAAGGGACCTAGCTCTTGCAAGGGTGACATTACAAAAAGGTGGCAAAACTAACAAAAAACCCCAAAATACGATTTGGGATTCAAAGGACTTAGCTTTAAATTCTGAACTTGGCTACTTGCTAGCTCTGTGACCCTGGGTAAGTTATTTGCTCTGGACCTGACTTTCCTCCTTTGTAAAGTGAATGATTTGCCTCCATGATCTTTTAAAACCTCTCATTTTTAAATCAATGATTCTAAAACATTTGAGAGGATGCAAGCAGTTAAATTTCTTAGTTACAGGTCTGATATACTATTTCTAGATAGGCTTGAAAACTTTTTGAAGTGCATCTACCTACATATACAATTTTTAAAAATAGACTATTCAAGGGGCACCTAGGTGGCACAGTGGATAGAGCTCCAGCCTTAGAGTCATGAGGACCTGAGTTCAAATCCGACCTCCGACACTTGATACCTATTAGCTGTGTGACCCCGGGCAAGTCACTTAACCCCAATTGCCTCACAAAAAACAAAAAAGGCTATTCATCATATAGCCAAATTTTAATGACTATGTATGAACAATTGGAAATAAAACCAATTTCACAATGAAGTCACTGATCTATATTAAAGGGCAATGGGGAAGCCAGAAATAGTAACATTAGCATATTAGGGTAAAGATATTAATAAAAGCTGGAGATTGAAATTGCAGTAAAATTTGTCTATTTTTGTTTTGTTCCTTCTCTGATAAATGGATATAATCAATTTTATGCCTACAGGTGGTAATACTTGTATCATTTAGTTTCTGGACAAGCCCAGCTGAATTGTTAGATTGAAGAAGTGCACTGCTAGATGGTAAAGATGAGAATGTAATTTGGAGATGGAGTAAGAGAAAGGAACTGGTTTTGGAAACAATATATTCCCAAAGATTTAAAATATGAAAAAATTTTCACATATAAAACAATTTATCTTCGTAAAATATTTCCACAGAACCTGAAATAGTCTGAAAAGCCTTGCTCTTCACCTTATTGGGAGTAACAGTAAGTCTTCCTGCCATAGTTGCTTTTAAACCCATTGGAGTTTTTTCTTGAAAAGACAAGTTTTTATAAGATGGTCTTTTCTATGATGTCTCTCCCCGCCCCACAACAGAATTATTATGAAAATATAGAAAAGGCATGGGTAATTGCTCTAGAATAGACTGAAGGGTCCCTCTTTTCTTTTTATTCCTAACAAATGATCCTATATTCCCTCCAAATTGCTGCCAGGGGGTTTTATTTTGTTTTTAAGCTTAAGATAGTAGATATACAAAAGTACTATCACTATCCTCATTTAACCAGCTACCAGAAAGCTAACTAAGATTAGTGGTTTGAGGATGTTGAAGATATCTTAAAACAAAAAGCAAAGCTTTTGAGGCATTGAGGCATGTGTTTAACTCCATTAGACCAACAAAAGTAAAGCAAAAGCTAATGAAAAAAACCATTACATACCTTTTTAAATTGAATCCATCATTCCACTGAGAAGCTGTATAGGGTAATGGAAACTGCCCCTGCCTTGCATTCAAAAGGTTTGGGTTCTAAATCTGCTACAGCATTGATGAAGTTTCTACTGTGTGTCAGGGGCTAGGGATTCAAAGACAAAAATTAAATAATTTCTGTCCTCAAGGAGCTTGCATTCTACTGGGGGGAAAATAACAAACCCATGTAAATACAGAATGTGTACTGAGAAATGGGGAAGAGGGGAAAAGGTACAGGTCTAAGACAAAACGACAATTTGTTCACAACGACAGGGGGGGTTCCAGAAGACAAAGTGGTCAGGGAGATAGGATGACACTGATGGGACTGTACTGATATGAGAGGCTACATATCCATTCACCATGATCTATGAAGCTTTTCTCTTTTAAATATGTAAAATAGGAATAAAAAAATTTATGCCTCTTTCTTCAAGGTTATTGTGAGGGAAGTGCTTTGTAAACTACAAAGCCTTATACAAATGTAAGCAATGCTTAATAAAGAAGGCAGTCATTTTGTGATAATTTTAAGCCATTACTAAAAATAACTACTGAGGAACAGAACTGGGTTTTGGAGTCAAAAGACCTGCTAAAATATCAATTTCTTTATATTTAATTATTAAAACTTTATCGCTTGATCAAGGTTCAAATTCCTGGTTCTGCAATTTACTAGTTATATGATATGAGGAGAGTCACAGTCTTTTAGAACCTAAGCATTCTCATTTGGAATATGAGGGCTTAAACTAAATTATCTCTAAGGTCTAGTTATGAAATTATAATTCTGCAGGTATAATACTCAAACTCAGATTTTTTCATATGGACCACCATATGATCTGTTAATTAGGTTACAAAAACATTCACATTTTAAAAACCAAATAAACTACAAGAACTTTATTCTCCGCTGCAAAGAGGGAATCACATTGTTTTGAAGAAAAACATTTTGGAAGCAGATACTTTTATAATCAGAACCATTAATGAAGTTTAATGGGGAAGGTGAGATCATATAAAAGCCATGAAATGAAGTAAAAAAACAAGTGACAAGGAAGGAGGATCCATTTTCCAATTTTATTTTAGGATATCTGTCAGGGGGTTTACTTGGGCGAAAAATTCTCATTCCTCCCTTTGGATTATTCATGACCCAAAGCAGGCAGAAAGCATTCAGGGCCTATCCATGCTCTGCAGAATCTCTAAGGAATCTAGTTCATGACTTGTTGGTCTATTTTGCCTGACAGCCACTTGTTAAAGGCATCAATTTCAACACAGGTTGCTTTTCTCCCCCAGGATATCCAAAGAAGAAGAGAAAATTAAGCGTGACTTATTTTATTCCAACTCTTCTTCGTATATCCATTCCATATTGTTTTAGATGAGCACAAACTGCTTCTGAAACAATTCATATAATCAAGGAGATAAGCATGCAAGTAGAGGAAAAAGTAATATTTACTGGGGAGAAGCTGGGAGAGGTGTGAAGAAACCAGTCTGAAAAAAAGAATTCCATGTAGTTGGGGCAAAAGAAGAAAATTAACTCCCTTCCCCCTTGAGTTACTGAGAAAACAAAATGAACAAAAAAACCCATTAGAGAACAGCAATTCTGGCTGATGAAACATTAGTAATTCTGACATCCCCAGGTGTTTTCCTGTGCCATCTCTGCTGGCAGCACATAAAACAGAAACACAAACACATGTCTAGATGATCCCCAAAATGGAGAACCAGGCAGTCCTTTTTTCTTTTTTTAAAGAGGCCTGATAAGCACTTTTGTTATGTATGTACACCCAGCCCAAGGCTATTATTGGTGATGCTTTTCAGCCATGGTTGATGTATTGTTCTAAAAAGAGGCATATACTGTAGAGGGTATCCCTGAAATCATAGTGCGGCTGAAAGTTTTAACAATTGCTTTATAAAAAGCCTTAATGGCTTAAAGCTGCACTAAGATTTTTGGGATACCCTGTGTTCTGTACTTCAGTTCAATTCAGTGACTGAAAGAGTATACTATGTATCTTCCAAACACTAAGACATTTATAAAAACATAAAATTTGGGGGCTCCGAGTGTAAGCCGCTTACATACCCAAATACAAACCCAGTAAGAATGACAAGAAATTCTAAGTATACATCATACATTTATTACTGAACAACCCTCTCAACTCCAAAATAGGGCACAGGGATTAAAAATAAAAATTCATTGCACTACTTAGTAAAGCATTACTAATAACTTTCATAAAAAATGTACAAATTTTGTTAAAAATTTATCAAGCCTTCAAATGATTTGGTTACAGGTTATTTATAATACATTTAAAACTACATTAAATGATACAATAGAGTACGATGAGGAAAAGACTCAACAAATAAAACTCATAAGCTTTCATAATCATTAGCAAATTTGAAACAAATAGCAAAATGAGGTAACTGAATGTACCAAAAGAAAAATAAAAACCGTTTTAATGGCGGCCCAAAGATATCTCCATCAAAAATGTTTTCCTAATATGAAACTGAGTTGGTAGATCCCATCCAAAGTATTTACAAGAGGCCTAAATTTTAAGAGCTTTAACAAATCACAGTTAAGAGATCATATAAAACCTAAACATACTTACACATTTCCCCCATTTTGCTTCAAAAACTTTCAGTAAGAAAATGAGATTTTGATATCTGGAGGCCTTGACATCTCTCTTTCAAAAATAATCAAATAAAGTTGACAATTCATGCAACAATACAGCAGAGCTAAGATGGTAAAGCCAATCATCTTCATTTTTGGAAGGAAAGAGGGGAAAGGCAATAAACAGAAATGTCGTATTGGATTCTGTTACTGTGCATTACCACTACAGGATGTGGAGTCAGACACATAAGTGCGCATTAACCCAATGGCAGTAACAACTGAGCATGAAACCCCTTCCTTTCCCCTTTTGTCAGCCACAACAGGGGAGGTTCAGTGTAGCTAGCCTGAGCTGGTTCAGAACACATACATGTGTGCTTTAAACACATTTAACCACATGAAATAAATCTGCACACATCTCCAAGAGTCCCATGCAAATAATAATTTGTTTAAAATTTCAGATCAGCTACAAGAGTGCAACAATTAAATTCAGTATTTTACCAAATTAGTCCTTACTGCCCCCTCAACTGTCAACTGCTTCACAGAACTTCACTGAAAAAGGGACATTTTGACAAGAATTCTTAAGTTCAAGGAAAAAAAAAGGTACTAGTTTATCTAAATATTAGTACAATGTGCCTTGTTAATTATGTATTTCTATCTAAATTAGAAAAAGTGCTTTATTTGCATGCTTCAATAAAGTGAATACTGAGTGTAGTTGTGTTATTGTTAGATCTGTACAGATAAAAAGATTTTTTTTGCAGCTATATAAAAGAGTCTATGTATAAGATGTGTGGCATATGCAATTTTAAACATGATTTCCTTATTTTAAAAAAATAAAGATTAACTATACATGATTTAATTGGTTTGTGGTTGGTTGTGTCAATAATTCCACTCTACCACATTTTTGGGGAGGGGTCTATAACAGTTTAAAAAATAGTACGCTGTATATTTTTTAATCATTGTTTTATTTCATTAGTGCTCTTATGATCTGACAAATATGAGCAGACCAAAAAGTTCTATAATTCTATCTTCTTGTTTTAACTAGGTAGGAGTCAACAGCGTTTGAAAAATGGGCAAAATTGTGCTTGTTTTACGTTACTCAACTTCATGTTGCGATTAGTCTGTAGAGCCTTCAAAAGAGGGCAAAGCAGCATGGTGGTAGCAATAACACTGTCTGAAAAAAAAAAAAAAACCAAAAAAACCAAAAAAACAAACGACACTAAAGCTGAATGGCATCTGAAGCATCCAAAGTTATGACACAAGGAACTTAAAGCTGGGACAAGACGGCTAACTAAGTGTGCTGCTCAGGTGCTGCAACCAAAGTGACAACGTTCACCTAAGACAAGAAGCAGAGGGATTCAAGAAACTTAACTTTTTCAACCTAATTCTGTTACTGAAAAACAGCCTAAAGCAATCTGAGCTATGGTAAGTGAATCAGTTTATTCAAAACCGCAACTATAACATTATTCAGGTCAATTGAAGGGAGGTTAACTCCTTTTTCACAGCATTATGTTCTAATCCAAGAACGGAATCCTCTTTTATACTGCTAACATCCTGGACACTGATTGTATTACACTTTACTCATTCATGCAAGGAAAAAAAAAAAACAACAAAAACCCAACACATCCCCAACCCCAGGTCTGACTAAGAAAAAAAGCAGGGCTCTCATTAGGGAGTCTATCCATACAGCACAAGTTAAGATGGGAAATGGTACTCTCCAAAAGAGAACTAGCCAGACTAAGTTCAGAATCAGAATTTTAGTTTAAAATACTTTATAGGAAGATCAATGTTATTTCCTCATAACTTAATTCTGCTAGCACTATTCAACAAGGAATACATGCCAGGAATCCAGGTTTGAGCTGGTTAACACAAATTAAGATTCTGGTGAAGGCTAATGCCAAATTTCAGGAGGTGGGACTGCATGGGACTGGGGATATCCTTAGTGACAAATTATTGAAGTATCTTCACAAAAGTAAAAATCTAACCATTTAAAAAAAAAGCACAGGTACTTTATTTAACAAGCTGACTGGAAATGTTAAGGAGACAGGAACATAATCAACATTCAAATAACTGATTGAACATGTTACTACTGCTAAATGATTATGTGATATTGCACCCTTCTAAAAGGAAACAGCAAGCCTGACATTTTAAAATTCACTTTCATAAGAGAATCTAAAAATTAGGTCCTGGTACACTTTTTCTATAAGTGGCCAGAGTTGAAACCACCAAAAAAGTGACAGTATACCAGCCACCTGAAGAATAAAATGGTCTTTGTATCATATTAATTATATGGGGAGGGAATTGGGAGAGAGAATATTAAATGCTTATAATTGATGCACCCTTAGCATTCAGTGTGCACAGCAAACACAAGGAAAGAAACCAGTGTACAGTACTAGTACTGCTTAAATAATACACAAGATTATACACTGCAGCATAATTAACACTACACACATTCTCAGTACATGCTGGTATATAGGATCTCACACATACATTATGCTACCACACCCTCACACAAATACTTGCATACTTGCACACATACATGGATATATTACCATTAGACTCATACATTTCATTCATTTCCACTCACAGTTTCTGAAGGCTCTATATAAGGTAGATTGCTATATTGTTTGGAGCTACCACTCTTTATAAAAGCACATGCTAAGATCATGTCCACAGTAATCTTGCAGCAACACTCGGAATGATCACACAAAAACCAGGGAATGTTAGTGCACACACAAAATTAAGCTAAAGAAAAAGTCTTTGGAGTTCCAATCACACTGTTAGTATAACAATCCCATAATTGTGACAACTAATTGTAAGATTTATAATTAATTAAATCACACAGTGCAAAGAAAGGTCCATTGACCTTTTTGGTAAGGGGAAGGCTTGGAAGCCACACAGGTAAATTCAATGGAGAGTCCATATATATATATACATGTGATGAGGAACACCCAAACTAAATTTGTGCTCTTAGATTGGTCATTCTGAATCACGGTGCACTTCTGATGCGTCAGCTCGACAAATTGGGCAGGTACGATTTGCCTGTAAGATGAAGGTAAAATAACACTTGAATGAGTTGTGATTTAGAAAACATATTTATTCAAAGAAAAACATTTCTTTCCATTATTACGTTCATTATTAAAATGAAGATAGTTTAAAAGATGCTTCCATTTTGTATCCAAATCATCAAAATAAAGTTAATTCAGCTTGGGAGAATCAGTATAATAAAGAACATTTTTAGAATAAAAAACCAACCAAACAAACAAAAAAAAAGACGGGTTTAAAATCCTGACACATACTAGCTAAATGACAGTGGACAGGTCACTTATTCCTAATGTGCCTCAGTTTTCTCATACACAAACTGGAGAAAGATAATATTGGCTCTTATAAACTTGTAAAGCTAAATATAAAAGTGAATTATTTTTAGATTAGGTTGAGGAACATTTGGCATGGACACAGTTAAGTATAATCTTTAGGTGGTATGGAATAAAATCAGGCAATATTTCAAAAAATAATAAAAGGCTATACTTAGCTTTTGATCAAAAAGTCTTTCAGCCTGACAGTTACACAAACTGACTGAGGCAGCAAGGCATAATGGAAAAAAACCATCTGATCTGGCATTAGATAATAAAATCTAGGTTTTGTATATGACATGTTTGCAAAGTATTTTTTATGTGCATTATACTCAGTTGGTCTTGTATTTAAATCCTGACTCTGCTACTTACTACCCATATGACTTTGGACAATTCACTTCACCATTCTGGTATTGTTTTCTCAGTTATAAAAGAGAGAAGACTAGATGAAGAACTGATCCTTCCTCCTCTAAACCTGTAATTCTGTATTTTTCAAGGTTTCAACATAAATTTTTAAAGCAAAGTTAACAAACCTTCCTACCTAGTCAACTCTTTCAGATTTTCATGAGTAAAATAAACTATTCAAGTTAAAAAAAAACACTCTGAAATTTAAAATAAGAAAACTGACTAACTGCTTCTTAATATAGAAATTCGTGTCAATAATATGCTACAAGGACAGAATGACAAAGAGAGAAATCTAGTATATGAATTTTACTTCTATTTACCACCCTTATTTTCTTCCCCTTAAGTGGCTATAACTGTACAAAACTGGAATATATACATTTTTAAAATTTTAATTACTGAATAGAATTTATGTGATTATAGTCTCCATTTTATAAAAAACAACTCATTACAACTCTAGCCTAACTGAAATTGCCTTTTCTTTCTTCATGGCCTCTGATTTTTTTTTTAACAGTTGCCTTTAACAGAAAATCTCTTAATTTTGACTTAAACAAATTTTGGAACTGAATCAAAAGTGGATATATCTTAGGGCAATTTTTTTTGGTGAAATACGACAGAGTGACATCTAGTGGAAATTTTGAAATTTTGTGTGGAACAGTTTCTATCTGGGCAAAGCAGTTGATAAATATGTTTAGATCACATATTATGTACACCATTAATTTCGGCTTTCTCTTCTGCATGGGTGAAGTTATCTGTGGGGTGGTGGTTTTACACATATTTAGCCTAATGGAGCTGGTGTCATTCTCAAGAAATAACAACACTTAAAGCTGGTGACCTTGCTTTGGATCCATGGACTATACTAATTTATTCAGTTAAGTAAATATTCATTAGATGTCTATATGTGTATAATAAGCATCGTACTGCTTGCCTTCTCAATGGATGGGGGATGGACTAGACAGAAAGAATTTAGAGTGTGTGGGCACATAAGTACCTAAAGAAGGTCTATTGCTTAGATTTCCATATGCACTTGGATAGATACCCTACAAAGTATATCTAGTAGCTAAACAAGAATAAAAGATGGTATCCAGGAGCTACAGAAGATGTGGTAAGAATGAAAGATGCAAAGGTGAACAGTCAGAATGCTCCATTGGTAAACCCTCATGATGTTGGGGGAAAGTGAGGAATGCCTTCAGCACAGTAAGTGGACCTCGTCTGGTGAACTTTTGAGAAGACATGGACAAGAGGCAAAGGATAGACAAGCATAGATGGGTTATAATCTGCATTGTAAAGGGAACCCCTGAGTCAAAGAAGTCAGATCCATTTGAGTATTACATTAGTAAATCAAAAAATGTTACACATTTGGCCTAGGTTTTAGCAAAGCGTTCAACAAAGTTTTACATGCTTCTTTTGAACAAAATGGATAGATCTGGACTGGATAATGCTATATACTGAATAAGTGGGTAGCTTTGGAATTGGCTGAAAAACACTAAAATCTTCAATCGTTAAATGTTATAAGGAAGTCTCCAAGGGTGCTGATCCAGGGATTTGTGTTTGTTAACAATGACTGGAATAAAGGCATGGATGATATGCTTATTACATCTGCACAGGACAACCTAGGATACATAGTTGGATAGATGATAATCAGGATTTAGAAGTACCTGAACAGGCTAGAAGAGGGGCAGAGAACCTACGTCCTCAAGGCCACATGTGGCCCTCTATGTCCTCAAGTTCAGCCCTCTGACTGAATCCAAACTTCATAGAACAAATCCTCTTAATAAAAGGATTGGACTCAGTCAAAGGCTTCACCAAAGGATCTAGAAGGCCACATGTGGCCTTGAGGCTGCAGGTTCCCTACCCCTGGACTAAACAGCTGAGTCATACATAGTAAGATGAAATATAATAAGGATAAATAAAAGTTTTATACTTAAGTTAAAAACCCCCCCCATCAATTTCACAAGTGTGAAGTGGAGAAGACATACCAGTTCATCTATAAATGACTGGATGATTTTAGTATACTGCAAATTCAACATGACTCAATAGTAAGAAATGACAGTCTGAAAAGCTAAACAGATGCCATGTTGCATTAAGAGAGGTATATGTAGTAAATAGGATTAAGGAAATTACTGTTGCATTGTACTCTGCCCTGGCCAGACCACATATGAAGTGTTGTGCTCAATTATGGAACAGTCTTAAGTCTACATCATATGAAAATCAGTTTAAGAAAGCTGGGGATGTTGAATCAGAAGATAAGCCTTAGAATGGGAAGTGATATCCATTTCTAAGTATCTGAAGGGCTGATATGTGGAAGAGGGATTATTCATGCTCTGTTTGGCCCCTGTGACAGGAACCAGTGTTTCTTTCCTCCCACCTACAACATGACGAGGCTTTATCTAAGAGAAAATAAAGCTATCCTAGGGACCTGATTGTCCTTAGCTTCTTTCTCCAGCTCTTACACCAGCAAGCCTAGGACCTGATAGGCCCTGGCTTCCCTGACACAGCTTCCTGGTCATCCAGAGGCAAAACAAGTGCTAGCCACATGGAATCTAAGACTATGGGAGCTATCACATCCTGAAGACTTACAGACCAGATGTGTTTTCAGAGGGAGACAAGGAAGGATCACATATAGAGAAACTAAGAAGTTATAAAACCTTTGTTAAATGTTTAGTGACTTGGGGTATCTTATTCCATTCCAACACATCAAATCTGAATAAAGAGGGTGCTGGCATTAGATTCAAGCCTACAACCAACCACCTTTGAAAGCAGATCCATGAACAACAGAAGAATGAGATTGAAGCTTGATGTAAGGAAAATATTCCTAACAACTAGCCATCTGAAAGTGGAATGGATTACCTTTGGTTCCCCCTCACCGGAATTCTTCAAGTATAGCTTGGGTGACCTAATTGTCAGATACATCACAGAGGGAATTCTTGTGTAGGCACAGGCTGGAATAAATCAGAGGCTGGCAAATTATGACCTGCACCTGTTTTTATATGGTCCTCAAGTCAAGAATGATTTTTTTCATTTTATATAAAAACCATTCCTAGTTATGGGAGATACAACAGCGTACAGGTTGGATTTGGCCCTCAGGCCTAGTTTGCTGACCCCTAAACCAGATGGCTGTGGGGGCTCCTTCCAACTCAGATTCTATGACAGCTATCTAAGAAGTACTTTTTCAGTTACTCTTCACTTGCTTATACTTTTGGAACAAGCCTTTGTAATATTTTGGAATGTTCCTTATGTGCTTCTTCTAAAGCATGTCCCTCTGGACTTCTACCACATAATATTCTCCATAAAAAATAAATCTCAACATATGAGCTTTGGGGAACCTGTTACATTTATGGTGAGGATAAAACAAAAGCATATGCCAAAATTTATCTAATAGAAACCTCTACTTTACCTTAAGCCATTTATCAACACACTTGGCATGGAACTCGTGGTTACAGGGTAAGACTCTAAGTAGCTGCCTTGACTCAAAATCACACATGCATACTACGCACCTAAAGAGAAAACAAAACAATGGAATAATGTTATCTAAGTAAGATCATATTTAGGGGTTTTTTTGTCTTCTTGTATCTGTAGACATTTTAGAAATTGTCATATACTATATATAAGAATCCTATCACATTTCCTCCTAAATTACAAGCTTAAACTGAAATTATTAATAAACAATTAACCTGAAATTAACATGCAAAACTGAACAAAGTTTAAGAAATCTTGTGTTATACTATAAAGTTGTTTTTTAATTTAAAAAATCATAAAATGAGCAAACATAAAATAATTTCTACTTGAATACCCCACAGGTGCTTCTTCAAAGAGATTACTACAGTAAAGAAGCATATTATCAATCTTTTATGTATCTGTGAAACTTTTAGAGTTAAAGATATGGAATGTGAAATAAATGAAAAAGAGCATTTAGTTTCCAAATCTCAAATCCAAACTCAAAAGATAAAAAACCTATGCTCGACATAGACTTAACCAACAGTTAAACACTTACAAAGTCTGTTCTGACTGGTGGTTGTTAGGATTGAACCGGTAAGATGGAAGCTGTTCAATATCTGCTTTTGTTAATCCACGTGGCTTAGCTTCTCCCAGTCGTTCTGCCAGATTTAGTAATGCCTGTAAATTCAGGAGGGATATTTTATTCATTTGAAAATTCTACTTATGATTTTGGTATTAGCCACTTTTGTGTCTTCTCTATCAAATATACTTTATCATGGGGGTTGGAATGGTGTGAGGAAGGGAAGTCTAGAAGACTCAGCTAGATACTTGATTTAAACCACACCCTATCCCCCAAAGTACCATCAAAATTCACCTCACCTCCACTGCCACTCATCTGCATAAATTAAAGATGTATAACTTCGCTGCCTTTTATTTATTCATCTGCAAAATTAACTTTGCAATCAGGGATAAGTGACTTGCCCATGATCACACAGCTAATAAGTGTCTGAGGCCTACCTTGAACTCAGGTCCTCCTTAGTCTAGGGCCGTGCTCTACCCACTGTGCCACCTAGCTGTCCCACTTTGCTTTTTATTACATTTATCTACTCAAATGCTTCTGAAGCAGGGTTCCACAGACAGTGACTTAGGTAGACAACCAAAAAGGGAAAAAGGTGGTTCTGCAGGCTGTCACTAAAAAAAATTATGGGATGGATGGGAGAAATTCTAGGGGCTGGGAATATTAGGAAACAACTATGGAATACAAAGCAAAAGGCATTATCAATAATACTTAAAAAAAGTTCCAATGCCGACTTCTCTTCCTTTCTCTTCCTTAGCACAACTCACTGTATGCTGACATTGCTGATGTTAGGGAAAGCCAAGAAGAGGTGAACAATAATACCTGACACAAAGATAGTTCTACTCACCAAACCTTCACAACTAGTCCTTGGTGAGTACTTTAAAAAAATTAACAACTACAATGGCCTTAATATTAATGACAAAGAATGATCAACATGATTATAAATCTCTTTCTTTGCAACAGGGAAATTTATCAAGAAAAAAATTTATATTTGCTTCCTAGAAAGCCTTTTGATGAGATGTAGGGCTACTGAAAATATACCCAAAATGATGTAACTTAAAAGAAAGCAAAGTTCCTGTCTTCTATGGCTCACCGGAACTCAAGTCCCCAGGAACCAGGCCTGAAAAGAAAGGTGGAGCCTACCTACACCCACTTCACATTACAGAAACCTAGAGAATCCCTGACCTTCTTTACCCTACACAGCAGTAAAAGATAGCAGGTACTATTGGTAATGTCATAAAAATAAGCATTAAAAGTAATGTTTAAAAATTACAAATTAATAAGGAGCTAACTTATGCAACATGGCAAGGCCTCAAGGGATACAGAAATCCAAGCTGAAGCAACAATGGATGGGATAGAAGTACAAAAGGAAAAATGAAGTTGGATAACAAATGCACCTTAATACCAGAATTTTAAAAAGACTAACACAAGAGAAACACAACAACCAGGGAAACTGCAAAACACTGTCCAATATCTAGTCATACCTATGGAAGCTACAAATAACAAAATTAATGAAATCGAAGAAAGATCAATAGGTAATAAAAATAAAATTGAAGAAAAAATCTAGGAAAGCAATAAAACTGAAAAGATAATGTACATGTTAAAATAAAACAATAGAGATTTGGAAGAAACAGTAATAAGTACAAAAATTAACTAGGATGCCAGAAGATAATGAAAAAAGAAGCTAGACAGTGAATCTAAGGAATCAGAAATATTTTTTAGGGCATTACATTGGGCAATCTGCTACAAATAAAGTAGCAAAAATACATATGGCACAAGCAAGGAGAATCCTAACTTGAATTCTCCAAAGCAAATAATCACTGAACTCTAAAAAAACTCAACACTCATATTGAAAGAAAAGTAACGAGTTTGCAAAAACAACAGAGTATACACTCAATGGCCTCTGAATAACCAGGGAGTTGCAGTTCAACTTCAACTTCCCTAGTGAACTGAACAACCCCAGGTTGGAAATATGTTAAATAGTTGTTTAATCATTTAGTTAGGCAGCATTTTAAAGTGGTCTCACTAAAGAGATGACTAGCTATTTCCAAAGAATGTGCTGTACGCATTTATGTAATAACTTAAACTTCTGAAAAGCAAGATTAGTAAATATGTTTGAAATAAACATATTTATCACAATAGAAGTGTTTTTTCTATTTTGGATTGTACCTGGAGTAGTAAAATTATTCTACACAAATAGAATTTAGTCCTTGTTAAAGAGAAAGTATGACTTAGGAGAGAGATTACTGATTTTGAACTCAGGAGAACACGAGTTCAAATCCTGCCCCAGTTAATTACTAGCTGTGTAATCCTGTATAAGTGACTTGGCCCCTCTGAGCCTCAGTTTCCTCATGTGTAAAATAGTAATAACCAACTTTCACAGGGTTAATATAAGGATCAAACGGAATATAACTTAAGTGCTCTGAAAACCTTAAAAGCACTATATACATTTTAACTATTATTATAAGAATAAACATCTTTCTCTTCTTTACAGAAGAACATTTGGAATATACTGATTTATTATTCCCAAAGTTGATTTAAAAATTATTTACCAACCTCATAATTTTCTACTTCTCCATCTTCTACATCCAATTCAAAGCTGAAGGCTGGACCGATTGCAGGTGGCACTGGAAGCATTGATCTACAAGAAAGACAATGAAAAATTTAAGTTTTACTACTTAACATATTTAAAAGCTCACTGAATACTGGGAGTGGAGTGGAATTAAGGAGGACTGTTTTGCTGTGTTTGAGAAAGGTTGAGGTTCACAAAAATCTGCTTTCTAGAAAAGGCTGACCACAAATGGCAAGGTAAATAAAGAGAATAATGCATTTTGGTGGTGGGATAGCTTGGGCAAGCAAACTTAAGTGGAAAAAGGAATGTGGGATGAGGTATGGTGGAAGAGAAGAATAAACAGACAGAATTATCCCTGAAGCATACTGCCAGAACATTTGATATGAAGGGCATCAGAGCAGCAGATTGCAGGAACAAAGTGGAGCAAAATCATTTTAGTTGTAGTGGGTAAAACAAGAGAGGTCAAGCATGGTGGCCAGAAAGAAATATTTGGTACTCTAGGGTTTATATTTCATGTTCCTCTGCTTTAATAACTGTATCAATAGCTTAACAGACACTGTCATTTACATAGTTTTAATTTGTCAAGTCCCTAATAAGATTTTGGCATGAGACACTGATGTCTATTTTTACAGACATGGAATTCCAACGTGCAGGTCCCTTCTAAGGGCATCTCTATGCATTTATAGGAGCTATTCTATTCCAATTTTTTGTCATTTTAAATTTTCTTTGCATTGGATATTTATATCTCATACATCATAGTGGCTTGGAAAGAAAAAAAACTGTGCCACCAGTAAATAAGTAGCTCTACTATTATCTCAAGAAGAAAAATAAATATGAATTGTTACCTTTAAAGAATTTGACACTTTAAAAACTAAGTAGTCTTCCAGCTCCAAAATGCTGATTTTGAGATGTGTTAACTAATTTTATTAATTCTCTAAAACAAAGAAAACTCTCTAAATGATTGCACATACATTGTCAAGGAAGGTTCCTTTCATTAAACTAGCCCAAGTTAATTTGTTTTCACATCTTTTCTTCTAAAACCATTACAACATGAGGTATTAGATATAAAAAAAATTCAACCTCCAAAGAGAATTAAAAATTAACTGTAAAAAAAAGGGTTTCAAAGTAGAATGGCTCTTTCAGTGACAAAAGAATATATTTACAAAAGATATCAAACTAATGGAAAATTGAGAGATATTGGGAATTTAAGAATCCTTTAGAAGGGATTTCTCTAAGTCTCACTGACAGAGGCTACTCTTCTTTCTCCTAAGAGAAGCAGGAACAACAGAGTAACCAGAAGCAGTGATGGGTATAGGTTTAACAAAAACAAAACCTCATTTTGAATCTTTCCTTCTATTGTCTCCTGTCTTCTTTGACACCTGCTGGCTTATAAATTTATTTTCCTGGTACAAATCTAGTCCTCACAGAAGGATGTAAATTCTTTGAGGATAGAAACTATTCAATAGAAACTATTTATTTTTGTTTTTGGCACCTTGTACATAATAGGTACTTGAAAAATGTTCTTGAAATTGAATTATCCTTGTATCTTGCTATCTTTTTTTTTTTGCTTTATACTTCTTGAAAATAAAACAAAACATTCTGAATATGAAATACCCCTAAAATACACATCAATATATTAAATTTTACAGGGTGTGTGTGTATGTAGAACTATCATATAAAAGCAATAAATGTCTAATAACCAGGGGAAAACATTAATAGAATTGAAATAGAACTTACAGTACATATGGCAGGAGGCTGGGATGATAAGGGGGAGGTGGTATTGGCTGCTGGGATCGATATCTACTACGTCCTGTGAGTCTTCGAGGCATAAAAGGAGGATAAGGCTGTAAGAAAAAGCAAAAACAAAAATGCAAAAATATGTTATTTGCCTGTGCACTTGACTAACCTGTCATGTTAATGTAACATTCATTTAAGAAAAAAAACTTTTAGAAGTTTTCTTGGGGAAAAGACAAGCTTGTGATTTATTGCTATAGGAAACTCCTGAGGAGGAAATGTCCCTCTACCAATGACAATCTGCATAGAGTTGCCTGAAGAAAATGAGAAGTTAAGTGATTTGCCCAGGATCACAAAGCCAGCATGTGTCAGAGATGGCACTGAAATTTAGGTTGTCCTGGGGCTGACTCCAAGGATGATCTACCCATTATGCAATTAGGCTTTCATTGTTATTCATTTTCTGAAAGCTAAAGATTATCCCTCAAGCAAATTTTTGAACATCAAATCCAGTTTTTCCACCAACTTTCATTCTAGCCTTTGGGAAAAAAAATTGGCTCAATACGTAACAAATCAGCACTTTTTTTGAAAAAGAAATTTAATAAGGATGAGAGTAAAGTTTAACCTTGGGTTCAAAAGTCACCTTCACAAATATAGTATGGGGCAGAACAGTTCAACTGTAAAAGACTGCAAATTTCCTACGAGTCAATGGTGTGAGAGAACAGCCAAAGTAATTTCGGTGGTGTAAGATGCACTAAGTGATTACAGGGTTCAGGACTAAGAAGTTCGTAAAAATGCTACTAGGACCAGCTCATATCTGGATTACTGTTTACAGTTTAAGGAAGACATTGATAAACTGGACAGCAAAGTAAAGAGTTTTAAGCTCATACCACAGAATGATCATCTTAATGATAATAATACTAACAGCTCATATATAAGATTTGCTAAAAGCTTTACATATATTATTTTATCAGAGACCAGCTTTAAGTCCAAATCACTCAGTCCTTCATTGATTGGCAAACAATAGGTCCCAGGCCAAGCCCTACTTGTTACTGTTTGAGCCCTGACTGGCTCAGAATAAATGTAAATAATAATTGTTTAGATTTTGGCCAGAAACCCTGAGGGTCTTCCCCTCCAAGACAGATTTTTTTTGGAGGTGGGAATGCCTCATTTCTTTCTTTCTTTTTTTTAGGCAATTGGGGTTAAGTTATTTGCCCAGGGTCACACAGCTGGTAAGTGCCAAGTGTTTGGTCTGAGGCCAGATTTAAACTCAGGTCCTCCTGACTTCAGGACCCATGCTGTATCCACTGTGCCACCTCGCTGCCCCCTCTGTCTCATTTCTAATAAGCCTTAATCACTGAATTGTCATTAACTCAAACAAACTGAGTCCTTAGCTTGAAAAGGCCAAGGTCCCCACTGCATTCAGTGCAATCTCCAGTTGTCCTGATCTATATCTGACCACTGGACCCAGATGGCTCTGGAGGAGAAAGTGAGGCTGGTGTCTTTGCAGTTCTTCCTCACTTAAATTCAATTCACTTGCACATTATAGCATCAGCTCCCTGATGTCATGATCCTCTTTGAGAAGGAATCACAACAATCACCAACAGCTCATATAAGATTTGCTAAGAGCATTACACACATTATCTTATCTGATCTTCACAATGGTACCTAGTTCACTGCATTATTATCCTCATTTTACATAGGATGAAAATGAGACTCAGAAAGGATAACTGAATTCCCAGGGTCTCAAAGCTAGTATGTGTCTAAGGTGTGGTTTTGAACACAGGTTTTCCTAATCTGGAATTAGGGATGTTTAGCCTGGAGTAGAAGACTTTGATGAAAGGCATCAAAAACAAAACAAAACACAACACAACTATTTTCATTGGCCTCACAGAGCAGAACCAGGAGAAACCAGCAGAAGTAGCAAGGAAGACGACTTAGATTTTATTTGGGGATAAACTTTCTAATAATTAGAATTAACCCAAAAATGGAATGAGATGCCTCAGAAGGAAGTAGTGGGTCCCTCACTGGAAATATGTCAGGAGAAGCAGGAGGAGCCTTTATAGGTATGTCCAAAGCTTAATTTTGTTCATGTATAGGTTGGACTCTGGTATCCCTTTCAATTCTGAGAGAATGATCCTGAGACTTAGAGAATACAGCAAACTTTCTAAAATCACATGTTTGAAGGAAGAATCACATTTCTCTTAAAACACTAATACTTAAGATATGTGATGAAATGTAAGAGTAAAGTGATGAATGTTATTTTAACAGACTAGAAGATCAGTGCCACCGTTAACATAGTGAATAAACTCAAGCGGATCAGCTAGTCTAGGGGGAAGTTCAGTTTTGGACATGTTGAGTCAGAGATGCTTGTGTTGTGCATCTAAGTAGAGACAGACAACAAGAGACTTATAATTGCAGAACTGAAATGTCAAAAGCAGGAAAGGCTGGCATGGCTATGTTATGTTCTGGAGAGAAGGCTTAATATGTGTGTATATCTATGTTAAGGAAGGTGAAAAAGGATGGAATTTCAAAGTGACGGCCTTAGCAAATATTTTCAATTTGGTCCCTCAAACACCTAAGAATCAGCAGTGAAGAATACATGCTCTATGTCCCTATTTTCTTTCTCCTCTCCCCCTTTTTTTAAGAAAAGAAAATGTCTTTAAAATACACAATGAATCCACCCTCCCAACAAAGGAAACAATTAAGCAAAACCAACAGACTAAGCACCTATATCTGACAAGATATACGACATTCTCATACCTCTTCATGGAATAATAGATTTGGAGGTGGAAGAGACCTTAGAGGTCCCTTGGTTCAACCCCCAGGTTCCTTTCTGTGGAAGTGAGAACTGGTGTACCCAATTGTGACTGAATGGTATAGAAGCACCCCTTGAAAATCCTGATTTTATGATTGAAGACTACAAAGGTTAGGGTACACACCTGGTTAACAAAAAAGACCTGTCACATGTTATAACATTAAAGCCAAGAACAACAACAAAAAAGGCCATTCTGAAATTTAATTCCAACAAATTCCTGACTAAATAATTTGTTTTTGATTTAATTTTTTTTTCTTTTTGGTGAGGCAATCGGGGTTAAGTGACTTGTCCAAGGTCACACAGCTAGTGTTATGTGTCTGAGACCAGATTTGAACTCAGGTCCTCCCGACCCCAAGGCCAGAGCTATATCCGCTGGGCCACTTAGCTGCCCCTTAAATAATTTGTTTTTGTGAAATGTCTTTTTGTCTATTTTTTAAAGCAGCATTGTTGCGTTCTTTTGATTTTATTGCTTTTACTTTTTAGTTTTAAATGGAACTGACCACCCAATTATTCACCTGAAGTTAAACAGAAAAAGCAAACATTAATGAATTTTAAAATATCATTTTTAACACATCATTAGTTACTCCCATTGTATCCCTATTTTTGTTCATTTTCAAGCCAAACAATAAACTTTAGAAAAAATACAATGGGGAAAAAAATTTATGTGTAGAATGTACAAATAAGACCTGCATAAAATAAATTACATAATTTAATATGTTGTATTCAGAAAAAAATTCCTTAAATGAAAAAAATTTTAACCTGTTTAGCCATAGCTATCACTATTTAAACTTTTGTCACGTGGTAGAACAAAAAAAAAATAGAAATAAAATAATGGCTTAAATAAGTCACGTTTGGCTTTAGATTAAATAATAATAGTAGTATTCCATGTGAAACAATTATTTCAAAAAAAACCTACATTATTTTACTATAAGATATTAACTACTGCAATGAAAAAATATACATAGTGGCAAAATTACTTTAAAAATTACTAAAACTACTAAAAGTAATGTGAATAAAAAATGAAACTTACTACTCCAAAAGATACCTCCTGGTGCAAAGGATCATGTGTTAAGAACTGGAGAGGGGCTGATGGAGGTAATGTTGGAGGATGGGCTGATGCAGGATAAGTAAAGCCTCCTACAGGAAGGTGTTCTCCCAAAAGTTCGACTTCATTTTCTATCCTTTGTAATGGCTGATTAAACATACACACACACACACACAAAATAAACTTTATTTCCACATTCAGACAAATTGGGATCACTTTCAGCTTACGATTTGAAACAAATCTTTGCGCAATAGTTTTGCTATTTCAGACCATGAATCTTCTGCCAACAACACCATTCTGAAACATTAAGTGAAAATACAGAGCACACTAAACTTTGCTATAGACTTTTACTAACTTGAAAATAATATACAAAGCAAAAGGTGTTGTTATACATTTCTACGACTCAGGACCTCAAAAGTTAAACTACTTTTATTACTTGAATCCTTTTTTACATAAAGGAAGAAAAGAGCATTGTAGGATATTCACACTGCTTAAAATTGCTTCTGTTTCACAATCCTTTGACATACTCATGATTTTCAGCCACTTAAAACATGTAAATACAATACATCAATTAGTAGAATATACATTATGATTTTTTAAGCCAAGAAACAGGACAAGATATGTTTATCTACTACACAGAAATATCAATTATTGACATTGTGATTATAGAAATACTGGAAATCAAAATAAAGTTTTTATTGTAACTGGCTCCAATTTTCAGCCATTTTCATATCTTTTATAAGGAATAAATTGCTCTGAGTTTTCAGGCACAAGTCTTTCCTCACTCCAACCCAAACAGCATGCTATTTTAAATAAGTCTTCATTTGAAGAAAAAAAATCCATATGGTGATTTCTTCTGAATACATAAGGGTTCTTTTTTAGCTGGGCTCTCTGTAAAATGAAATTCTGTAAACTGAGGGCTACTTCTATTTTTACATATCTTAGTTCTTTAAAAAAAAAAAAGAAGATAAATAAAAACTTGCTAAGGAGAAAGATTCTAACAGTTTAGTCTTTTGCCACATCCAAGGTCATTGCTGCCTTGCTCTAGGTACCTAGCACTCACCTGCTACTGCGCCTGGATGCAGCAGGATGAAAGAGACCATGAATGAGGACAGGTAACCTGCTACAGTTAATGGTCACAACACTACTGTTCATATGGAATATGCAGAGGCCCAGGATAGTCTTCTACCCCAATGCTTAGATTCAATCTCTGCCCGATCTCCGTTGCTTCACCTAATTTCTTGGCTGCAGATTATGGATAGTTTACTTAAAAACTGCTACCTGCCTTTCCCTCAGATATCAATCCTGGGACTCACATTCTGACCACCTCCCTCCTGAATACATGAAACTCACATATGTCCCTGCTCCCCAACCACACAGAGTTACTGATTGCCAAGCCATAGCCCCATGACTAACTACATCATACTCCACAATCTACCAAAACAGCCAGGTTAACAACTCTTAATCCGGTCCCTGCCATATAGCTGCCCATGACTGGGTAGATGCCAACAAAACTAATGGCTGAAATAAAGTTTTTGGATCATCTGTGGATTTACATTATATTTGAACCTATTCCTCACATCCCCGAAAAAAGGAAGACTTGGTTATTATAAACACCTAAGAGACGGAGAGGACAGTTATTATCTCGATTTAAACCTAATCAATCAAGAAGCATTTACTATATTTCAGGCAGTACACTAAGCTGTACTAAATGCTGGGAATGCACAGAAAAGGCAAAAACAGTTCCTGACCTCAAAACATTTATGTTCTAATGGAGGAGACAACATATACATATATAAGGATATCCAAGAGACATACTGAGTGGATAGAAGATAACTACTACCTTGTGTTGGAGGTAGTAGAGGAAAGAGGGGAGTAAAAGAAGCCTCTTGTAGTCAGCAGCATTTGTGCTGAGTCTTGAAAGAAGCCAGAGATTCCACAAGGTGGAGAAGAAGGGGGTACATTCTAGGCATGGGGGAAGAGAGTAAGAGGGCAGAGAGAAGGGATGTGGCACATCATAGGCAATGAAAAGCTAATAGGCCAATAGTGGCAAACAAGCAGGTGTGTGAAAGAGAATACATGTAGGAAATCTGCAAACACAAACAGAGGCCAGGTTGTAAAGGCCTTCAACTATCTAAGTAAGGAGTTACATTTGATCCTAAAGTAATAAGAAGACATTAGAGTTGGGGGGGAGGGGAGGAAGGGAGGAGAGGGAAGGGGGTAGGGGGGGGAGGGAGGGGGGGGAGAGTGGGGGAGAGAGGGGGAGGGAGGGGAGAGAGAGGGGGAAGAGGGGGGGAGGGGGGGAAGGAGGGGGGGGAGAGAGAGAGAGAGGGGGAGAGAGAGAAGAGAATCATGATCAGCCTTCAGGAAAACCGGCAGCTGTATGAAGGATAGATTGGTGTGAAGAGAGGTTTGAGGCAGGGAAGTCAATTAGGCGTCTGGGAAGAGAAGTGAGAAAGACCTGAATCAGGCTGGTGACTGAGGAGAGAAAATGGCATGTATATAAGAAATGTTATGGACAAAGAAATGACATTTAGTAACAGACTACAGAGATTGAGGAATCAAGAATGTGAGCACCCTTGACAATAACAGTAAGCTTGGAGGGGGGGCAGATTTGAGGAATTCTGATCTGGACACACTGAATTTGAGGTACTGATAAGACATCTAGTATTCAATGTCTAATGGGGAGCTCGTGATGTGGGCCTGAAGCTCTGGATAGAAACTAGGGCTGGATACAGAGATTTAGGAACCAACTGCATAGTGATGATACTCAAACCCGTAGGGGTGGATGAGATCACCAACAGACACAGGATGGAGAGAAGATAGCTCAGGACAGCACCGTGGGTTAACGCCCAGTTATCGGGCATGACATGGATGAAAAAGTCAGCAAAGGAACCTGAGAAAAAAAGGCAAGAGAAAAATCTAAAGAGAGCACTAACAAGAATAGTGAGAGAAGAGAGAGTATCCAGAAGGAGAGAGTGGTCAGCAGAGTCAAATGCTGAGAGACTAAGAATATTAAGAATATTTCTTGAATATTAAAAAACAGCATCAGATTTGGCAGTTTAGAGATCAATGGCAACTCTGGAGACATGCAGTTGCAGTTTTAAATGGTAAGAGTTGAGAGAGGAAGTAGAGGCATCAAATGTAACACCCCCCCCCCAATCCCCTGCCCCAGAATTTACCCAAGAAAGGAAGGAGATATATATGAGAAGATCTAGCAAGGACTTTTTAAAAATGGGGAAGACTTAGGAGTGTTTGTAGAGAGTAGAGAAAAGAACCAGTAGAGAAGAAGACACTCAATATTACAGCGAAGGGATGAAAGTCAAAAGAAATGGTTGGAGACAACAGGATCAAAGTCAAACTGAAGGAAATAGTGTTAAAGGTGATTTGCTAAAGGTCATAGGAGCTAAATAGCTCAAACTCAGACCTTTAAGGAAGCTGGGAATATTAAAGGAAAAAGAGAAGTCAATATTCAAAAGGAGCTTCCACATATTCCATTCAATCTAAGGCTTACTATCTTAAAACTAATTCCTGCCCCCAAACTCCAAAAGGATTTTTATTTCAGTTTACTTTTTTTAGTTTTGGTTTTTTTCCCCAGCATTTTATTTTTTCAGTTTATTTTTCCTGAGACTGAAACAAAAGAATAGCCAAACAAAATTATAATACATCATTAATATATAAAGCAGGAACTCGCAATTAATTTCAAGTTAATATGCATTAATTCACGCCAAATCTCTATTGTAGAATATAGGTTCTTTTTTTATAGTACAAAAAATTCAGTTATCAGGTACATGCATCTTTGTTCTACAGACAATTAGCAAATCTGGACTTAAATTTTCAAGCAAATTTATACCCAAAAGAATAAAAGCATATACATACCGATCGTGATTGCTGTGTTTGGAAGGGGACAAACTGGCCAGGTGGTGGCAAATGAGGAGGATGATGTGGAGAAAGGTGAGGTGGATGTAAAAGAAATGGGTCACTAGAAATAAGAGGTGGGAATGCAGCATATGGTACTGGTAAGTGCTGAACTGAACACGCCTGAAGCATCTGTAAGAAAAAAGACATTAATTTATTTTTTGTTCTTAATAATGGCAGGATATTCTATGATTTATTTGAAAGTATACAAAAAATAAAATGTCTCTATCAAAGAAAATGGGTAAACTACCAAAATACCTTTAATAGGTAAAATTAATAGTGAAATAAAACAAATGAGGAAAATTCAGAGCATGCTATTAATTAACTAAATTTCAATGTCATGATCATTCATGCTCATAAAACCACTGGCCCTTCTAACACACCATCATTTTTCTAGTCACCCAAGTTGGTAACCTACGAGTTACCAATGATTTCCCCTTCTCCATAATTATTTCCCTCCTCACCAGTCTTTTGTCAAGTCTTTCCCATTCTGCCTTTAGAGTTTTGCTGGCTATGACACACTCGATTCTTAAGTGTTTATTTTAGAGTAGGAAGGTTAGTTTACCACCACCTCAAGAGGTGGTACAGTTGGAGGACCCTCACTGAAGGAAAAGGAGGGAGAAGAAAGGATTAACAGCATCCACTTAGAAGGGATCTTACGGGTGGAACACTTATGGAGAGGAGAAAGAAATAAGACTGCATTGATTGTACCTACATAGGAGGAGAGGAGTAGAAAAATGAGGAGACAGGAAAGGATACTACTGGATAGAGGGGAGGAAAGAGATGGGGAGGAAAGAAAAGCAAGGGGGTACTTGGGGCAAAGGACCAGCCTACAGACTTCCCTACGGACACTTAAAAGGTGTCACATTATTTCAATTCAATACAGTAAGCATTTATTCAGCACTTACTCTGTGTAAAATAATGTATTAAGTGCCAGGGATACAAAGATAAAACTAAATTAAACAAAACAGTAAAAGGAGCTTATCTTCATCTTCTAGGGGGGAAGTGTGGAAGTGTGGGTGGGCATGTGGGCAGGGGCATGTAACAGGTAAACAAATAAGTAAACAGAAGAAAAAGTTACTAACAACTGGGGTGTGGGGGAGAGGGATAATCTTCAAGTAGGAAGTGACACAATAACTGAGTCTTGAAGGAAGCTAAAGATATTAAGAGGTAGAAGTGAGAAAGGAGGATATTCCAGCACAGAGAACAACCTACGGACAGGACTGCAATTGAGAGATGGAATGTTTAAGGAATAGCAAGATGGCAAGTTTGGCGGAATGCTTTAAGGGGAACAAAGTGAAACAAACTGGAAAATGTAGGTTGGAGACAGAATATAGAGAAGTAAGAATTTTTTCCTCGAGATTAATTGGGAGCTACTAAAGTTTCTTAGGCTAGTGAATGACATGGTTAGACTTGTACTTTGGTAGCTGGGTCAAGGATGGACCCACAGCAACTCCCCAACACTAACTGCAGGATCAGGGTCAATCTCCCAAGACAATAGGGAGTTGGACACCTTGAGAGCAGAAACAGAATCATTTTATTATTTCTATCTCCAGTGCTTGGTACACAGTAAGTGCTTCCTAAATGCTCTTCCATTCCATTACACCGTGTATTCTTATCCTTCCACTAAAGCATATTATTGCTAAGATCTTACAAGAACTTAGATGAATACTCACAGGAGGAGGCACACTACAGATGGGGAGGTGCTGTCCACTGAAAACCACAGAGCATCCTGGAACCTGCTGTGTATTGCAAGCAGGGATGTGCTGGCCAGTGCAAAGTGGAATCCCATGTGGAGCAACTGTTGTTACAGTATAAGAAACTGGGACTGTGCCTTGATGGAGCTACAATGAAGAGATGAATATAATATGTTAATGAGCACTAGTGACAGATTATTAATTAAATATTAACATTTGGCAAGTGTGGAAGTCTATTGAGAAGGGTAATGGATCTGGTCTCAGAAGATCTGGATTCTCATCCCAGGTCTGAGACTCTAAGCTGTGGGACTTTTAGGAAGCTCCTTTCACTTTAGTTTCCGATATATCTTTAAAATGAGTGATCTGGATTAGCAACTGCCTCCAACTCTAATATTCAGAATTGTTTTCAAATGGGTATTTCTATATACTTCAATGTTACATTTTGCCTTTATATTCCAACACTTAGTATAGCTTAATCAACACTTGTTGGATCCTAAGGCTGAGAGATCCTCTACCTTCTTATATAATGATCATTACCATCATTTACATGACACCTACTATGTGACAGGCACTGTGCCAGATATGATCTCATTTGACCCTCATAACAACCCCAGGAGTTGTTATTTTATCCCCATTTTACAGATGAGGAAACTGAGGCAAACAACAGTTATGTGACTTGCCCAGGGTTACCCAAATAGCAAATGAGCTCAAATCTTTCTCATTCCAGGCCCAACGCTCTAACTTACTGGGCCACCCAGTCACCTATCTTCCATGGAATTAGCAAAAAAGAAGTGTTTTGTCTGTTTGAAGGGGAGATGATAGTAGGCAAGCAACCACTGAAACAGTTTTTATAATTAAGTTCATCTCTTCTCAAGATCAAGGCCTCAAACAAAACTTTCTTGCCAAAAAATGACAGAACTTGACAGCATAGAATAAATTCAAATATCCATATCAGGAAACAGGTTGTCACATTTTTCCCTATACTGTAAAACGTGTAACATAAAGGTTGTGTGGAGAACCTTTCAATGGATTTAGAAAAACCAGTTCTACATTTAAAAGGCATAAAATGGGGCTCATTCTTTCTACCAAGGAAAACATTTACTTCATAACAAACATGATAAAAGTTAACTTCTTTTTGGGAGGATGAAAGGCTGGTCTGGAGCTCTGATGTGAACTTCACACAGAATCCCCTTCCCTTGGCGACCTGTAGTGTTGGAGAGTTGGCTGCAGCACTGAGAAGCTAAGTGATAAGGCCAATGTCACACAGATCATATTTAAGAGACAGGACTCAAACCAGGCCTTCCCGACTCTAAGGGACAGTGAGACAGCCCTTTATCCATCAGACCATGTTATCTCATGAGAAAGAAGGAACGTGAATGCCAAAAAAACAATCCCCATACAAAGTTGAATGCCAAGCTGAATACTATTATCTGAACACTTTGATCAAAACCCTGAAGATATCCTTTCCTATTCAACCTAAAAGTTCCTCTTCTATTCTCCAGGACTGAGTGAATTTCTGTAGCCTGAGACACACAGATGCCTTTGAGCTAAAAGAAAGCCGTGACAACTCCCCTGGTCCTTTTCTGACACTTGCAGCTGCTTAGGAGATTCTGAGACTGTCACCCCTTTTCCCTTTAATTGGGGGGCACTAATAAAGTGAAAATACCCATTTAAAATGTGAACTTTTGTTCACAACTTAGACACTGATTTTTGAATTTTGTTGAGAACTCAAGATACCCTGTATATGCAAGTTAAATTGTTACGTCTTTTTTTTTTGTGATTAAGAAACTTGTCAAAAGGAAGAAATCTCAATGAATTACAGTATCTAATAGGCACAATTTCACATTTTAGCATAATACCTGGTCATGTATGTCAACCATCACTGCATTCTGCTGAGGTGGGTGAGCAGCAGGATGTAACATACGTGGGGATACATTCGGAGGATGGAAGGCTCGAGGCTCCTCTATTGCTTGCTGCTGTCCATATGAAAGATGGTGATAGTTTTCATCTTGACTAATGGAATTATGTCGAGAAAGACGATCCCTCCTTCCTCTCTGACGCCTAACAGGAGGACTGAAACACATTAAAAGTGAAAAATAAGGGAGGCAAATTATTTTAGACTGCCAACAGAATCCTGTGTGTCCTCCTTTCATTACTGGTTATTATATGAGGATTTTGGGGAATGAATTTGTGATTTCACTAGTACAGGGAGCATCTAATACCAAGAAAGATAAGACCCTCCTCTGCACCTTGTGGTCTCAGAGCAGGGGCTCATTTCTTGTGTCATGAAGTCACTGGCAGTCTAATGACAGCTACAGACTCCTCAGAATAATGTTTTTAAATAAAATACTTAGGATTACAAAGGAAAGCAACTGTATTGAAATATAGTTATCAAAATATTAAAAAAACAAGTTTACAGGTTGTTAAAAACCCACCTTAGGAAATTGCTTGGGGGGTACTGATAGGTTAAATGACTGGCTCAGGTAAGCTCCTTGAGACTAGGAATTTATTTTATTCTTTGTACCTGTATCCCCAAGTGCCAAGCACAGTGCCTGATATCTGGCAACTCACTCTGCCTCTTTAATTGAGGCTCTGGTTCCTCTCATCTATAAAATCAGGGGCTGGAGAAGTTAGTTTGGGATCTTATGATCGACAACAGAAGACTAGAAATTTTCTCTAGTTCTAACTCTCAAAATCATCTCAAAAGAGAAACTATGCACAAGAGCTACAACAACTGCAGCTGCTCCAGAGGCTAAAACAAGATGAAGCCTAACAAGGTTATAAGCCTTTGGAATGAACAGTGGAGAACCTAATCCTAAGAAGACTCACTCAGCTTATGCTCCGCAATACACTTAGCTGTCTCTTGGCAGCTGCAGCCTCTGCCAGCACACCTTGATCCAGCCCTTGCTTAGGATTCTGTGGCTACAAGCAAAAAGCTCAACTCTGCCCTGACCTGGAGAGAGGGAGATGTAGGAAGGCAGGAGCCGGTTCTGCCTGTGGTTGTACTACAACAGTTCTCAGGGGCAAAACTAAAGAACAGAAAGAACTGGTCTGCATGAGGGGCTGTAGCAGACTTGAAGGAAAGAGACTGAGGCTAATGAAAAGTCAATTCCTCAGTGTGGGAAGAGGATAAGACAGCTTTGGGTCCAGCCCCAGGAATTCACTATCACTGTCGAAAAGTGAGCAGCAGGGTAACTTAGAGGAAAAAAGATCCCAAGTACCAAAGATCTCAGGAAGAGAGTTAAACATCAGTTAGACATCAGTTAAAAACTCAGAGCATAAGCAGATAAATCAACAGGGAATTAAAACAGAAGTGATAATGGCCACCAAGATACCTAAACAACCACAAATGTGTCTAAATAAATATTGCAAGACAAAGGAAAAAGAACCAATATCCATGAGAGAACCCCATGGATTTCCCAAAGAACATGGAACTGCAGCAGGATGTTCCAGAATAGTCCAAAAGAGCAACAAGAGTCTTGAAAGAAGTTAAAAGAGAATAAATGGTAAATTTTATGCCCTCTGCAGCAGAAATAATTAGAAGAGAAAATATCTGCATCCACAGTGTGAAGAATCCACTTAGCAAGCAAAAGAGAAAACAACTGATTGGGAATACAAATATACTAAAAGAAAGGACTATCTGGAAGAAGAGAAGCAAAAAGCAATAGCATTAGAAGAACACATGATGTTTATATAAACTGAACAATGATTCCGAAGACATTATACATAAAGACAACTTAAAAATTATATGTCTCCAAGAAGATAAGTAAAAAAATAAGGTTTTAAATTAGATAACCTCTAAGGTCTTTTGTTGTTGAGTCGTTTTCAGTTACATTCAACTCTTTGTGACCTCATTTGGGGTTTTCTTGGCAAAGATACTGGGATGGTTTGCTATTTCCTTCTCCAGCTCATTTTACAGAAGACGAAACTGAAGCAAACAGGGTTAAGTGACTTGCCCAGAGTCATACAGCTAGTGTCTGAAGCTGAATTTAAACTCAGGAAGATGAACTTTCTTGACTCCAGGCCTGGCACTCTCACCTCTCAACCACCTCAATGCCCTAAAGTCTGAATCCTAAGACCTTCAATAAACAATGAGCTGCTACAATTCAATAAACAACATTAGGTTTATAAATCAAGCATGTAAGTATTCACTAGCAAGAACACTGTGCTAGATATACATGGAGTGAGAAAATTTACATAAAATCTATTCCATAACCTCAAGGAACTAAAAATATAGCAGATATAAGAATCACAGTGAATGAATTACATAGAGTAACAAAATAAACTGCTATGTGATATCTGAGGGGAAATTCTTTACTTACTGTGAGGCATTAGGGAAACATTCTTAAACTTAACTATTTACTTTGCGCTTAAAGAATGGGAAGGAAATCAACACATAAAGGGGGTCAAGGGAAAGTATTTCAAATATAGGCAACCAAGTAAGAAAAACATGGAAGTATGTAATGTGTATCTGGAGTACAGAACTGTGAAGCGGGAATGGAACATAAAATAAGTAGAAGAAATATTAGATAAAACTGCAAAGATAGTCTGCCATCATGTTGTGGCAGGTCTAGTATGTAAAAGGGAGCCACAAAGCAATTTTGGGCAGAGGAATGACATGCTCAGATCTATGCATAATAAATATTATTAGACCAGTAGTGGATTATGATTGCTTGAAAATGAAAAGAGCATGTAAGTATGAGTATGAAGACTTACAAGGAGGCTATTGCAAAGTGCTAATGGGTAATTCAATTCAACTAAGTACTTACATATGTCAGGCCCTGTGGCAGGTGCTGAAGATACAAATCCAAAAGGGAACAGTACCAGTCCTCACTTAACAGCTGATATTCTACTAGAGTGGGAGGTAAGGGAGTGAACATGTACACAGACTGGTAAAGTCAAAATGTATACAAAGTAAATAGAAAGTAACTGGGGATAGCGGTGAGAAAAGCAAATTAAAGATTTAATCATACAACTAGACCTATTTGATAGGACTAGACAAAAATAACAAAAATTTATATGGTGGAATATCAAGGTCAGGAATTCCAAGGGAAATAATTATTTTTAAAGTGTAGGGATAAAGAGAGTTTGGTGTTACCAGATCTCAAATTTACATTATAAAGCAGTAATTATTAAAAGTAACTGGAGCTAAAGAAAAAATAAAAAGCAAATCAACAAAAAAGATTAGACAAGGAAGACCTAGGAGCAATGGTTACAGCATATGAATGAATGGTAGAGCATTTATTAAGCACTTATGGGCCAGACATTGCACTAAAAATACAAAATAAAGGGAAAGTGACATACCTAGGGAGCCATTTCTGATAATAAACAATAAAAGAAAGGAGAGGAGAATCAGGTTAGGGATACAAATGTATCAATTAACAAATATTTATTAAGTGGCTATTATGTGCCAGGCACTGGGCTAAGCAGGAGGGATTTAAAGATAAAAGTAAAACAGTCTCTGCCCTCAAGGAGCTTGTATTCTATCTAACACAAAAGACAACAGAAATAAATACAGAACAAAACAAAGAATCCTGGCATGTGGGAGGTGGAAGGCATTAGGAGCTTTTGGGGCCAAGAAATGTTTCAAGTAGAAAGTGTTGCTAAAGAAAAGTCTTAAAGGAAACCAAGAATTCCAAGAAATGGAGACAAAGGAGGACTGCCTAACAGACAGTGGACAGGAAGTACAAAGGCAAGGAGAAAGATCGAGTGACCTACATGAGGACCAGTAAGAAAGCCAGTTTGGCTAGACTCTATAGTGCTAAGAGGAAAGTAACATGTAATAAGTGTGGAAAGGAAGGGTGGGGGCAGGTTGTGGAGGGATTAAAACGTCAAAAAGAAGAGCTTATATTTGATCCTTGAGGTTTTAGGGAATCACTAGATCTTACTGAGAAGGGCTGAGAGGGTGACATGGTCAGCCCCTACACTTTAGGAAATATACCTGAGCAGCTGTGTAAAGGATGAATTGGAGTGAGAAGAGATTTGAGACCAATTCAGGAGGCAATTGCTATGTCCAGGACAGAAGTGATGGTCTGAACTACAGTGGCTATGGTATGAATAGAAATATGGGGACATTTCAGGGATATTGTGGAAGTGGAAAAGACAAGATGTGGTGACTGACTGGAAATGTGAGGAATCAAGGACGATACTGAAGTTGCTTAGTTGGGTGACTTGAAGGATGGCAGTCCTCTTGAAAGAGATTATTTAAGTTTGACAGAGAGTTGGTATAGAGAAAAACAATTAATAGTACCTCAGACACATTGAGTTTGAGATACCTATGGGACACTCAGTTGGAAATGTCCAGCAAGCAGTTTGTGATGCAGGAATGGAACTCAGTAGAGAGACTAGGATGAGAGTTGGGAGTCTCTGCATAGAGATGATGATTAAATCAACAGAAACTGAAGGTCACCAATGGAGAAAGTAGAGAGAAAAGGTAAGAGAATCTAGGATACAGCCTTGAGATACTGCCCTGGCCCCTCTAAGCCTGAGCTCTGAAGGAGTTTTAAAGGGTTTCAATACCTTATAAGGGAAAACTGGCCTAGCCTACATAGCATAAGTGCTACAAGGACACTCTCAAGGATTCTAATGTGAACTTTGGAATTGACTGTATGACATGGGAGACACTGGCACAGGACAGTTCAGCATGGTGTGCACATGTCACAGAAGTGCTATGCTCTATGAGCAAAGCAGAACTGAAATGCAAAACCAAGATGCGCAATTTTAGAGAATCCACTCCAAATGTTCACATGGACTATTTGTGCCTGACCTGTGGCAGAGCATTCTGAGCTTGTAATTGGTCTGAAGAGCCACAGTCAGACACGCTGAAACTTGAGTCTAGCATAGTGGTGCCATTTTGATCCTCTTTGAGAACAAAAGACAATAACCAATCAGCTACTAATACAGTTCCAAACTCCTTCCCAGAACAGTTAGCCCAATTCAGAGCTTTATCAACAATGCATTAAGTGTATCTATCTTCCCACAACTCCAATTACTGTCATTTCCCTTTTATCATCTTTGCCAAACTGATAGATGTAGTAGATAGATATAGCAAAACTTCAAAGTTCTTTTAATTTATATTTGATTATTAGTGATGTGGGACATTTTTTTCACATAGTTTTTACCTGGCATTTTTCCTTTAGAGATTGTCTGTTAATATTCTTTGACTATTTATCTATTTGAAGCAGATCCTTATACGTCTAGTATGTCAGACTTTTATCAAAGAAATATTCTGCAAAGACTTATCTCCTAGTTAACTGTTTCCCTTTTAATTCTTAATTGATTTTAATTCTTATTAATTTTGTTTGTACAAGATATTTTCAATTGCATATAATAAAAATTGTCCACTTTACCTCTTGTGAGCCTTTCTATTCCTTGTTTGATTAAGAACTCTCCCTTCCTTTCTTCTCTAAATTGCTTACAATATGACCTTATACATCTAGGTTATGAAACCATTTAGAGAGCATTTTGGTATATGATGTGAAATACTGGTCTAAACCTAATTTCTCCCAGACTGTTTTCTTATTTTCCCAGAAATGTGTCAAACAGTTGTGTACTGATCCAAATAAGATTGTGTTTTTTGAACATAATGCTACTTTTTATGCTACTTATCTATCTAATCTGTTCCACTGATTAAATTGACTATTTTTAAAATCAGTACCAACCAGTAACACCAGATGACTGATCATATTTGCTTCCCATCTTTTGACAGAGAGGTAATGATTAGGAGGGAGAGGATCAAACACATTTTCAGTAACAGCTAACGTCTTGCTTTGTTTTGCCTGGCTATATTTGTTACAAAAGAGGGCACTTAGGGATGCAGGTAGAGAGGTAATAGTGATGTAAAACAGAGAAGGAAACACAAAAAAGGATATCAACGATACATTTCAAAATGCAGAACAGACTAAGCAAAGTATTTTTGTGCATTATTTAAGTTCACAATAAAAAGTAAAATAAAAATCTCTCTAAATAATAGTAAGCACAAGGTAAGCACAAAAGTTCCCACCCACTTAAAAGAAAATAAGTTTTTGTTTTTTTTTTTTACCTCCTTCACACTTTTATTAGGAATATAATGAACTATCAAAGTGGAAAGACAGATGCTCCCCAAACTTGTGAACATTCCATACAGCTAAGGGACCATCACAGTGATTTCTAATTAGGTTTCTTTGGTTTGGAAGAAAATTTTCAAGCAGTATTCTTAACTAAAGAATTAATCTACTAACCTTCTTCTGTTGCGTGCAGGTGTGTTGCATCGTTCCCCTGAGAAGTGATGCTGATTGGGCCGAACTGAAGGAGGCTGCCTATTTGATGTCATCTCCCATGGTCGCATTGGTGGTGATGGGGCTGGTGATGCTGTATAATCAAAGACTGAATGAGAAAGCCGCTGTCTCTTGGGACTTGGGCTGTCTTCACTCTGCCAACATAACAAGACAAATACAGTGGGTATAAAACTCCTCAAATGAAACACTCTACATTATGTTAGAAAAGTAACAGATACTTGCAAATTTTTATCTTAACACAAAAAAGACAATTTTCTAAAGAAAAATATTTTTAATAATGAAATCTCATGGTGACAACCATATAGTTAAGCTATCTACAACAGAGACAATACTTGGATAAATCATTTACTTTCATTTCCCAGGCCATGAACATACACATTTGTAAAAAATAATAACTTTAAAACAAAGGGTAATCCCCTCTCTTCTCTGTATTCTACTTATTACTGCAATAATATATCTTAAATGGAAAAAAAGTGATATGGGATTTTAAATTATTCAGTAAATTCTAGTGACCTACAGATAACACAAAACTGAATGCATTAGGTCTTAGATCAGTTATAAGACTTTACCACAGAAAAATAATATAATCAATTGGGTATCAGTTTCAAAACTAAACTAGTTCCCAGATAATTATAACAAAACTTTAGGTCAGGGGTGGCCTTGAGGCCACAGGTTCCTACCCCTGCTCTAGGTTATAGATAGCATTTCCAAATGGTGACAACAATGTCTATAATCTTATGTTAAGTGACGCCCCCCCCCCTTTCCTTTTTAGCAGATGAGGAACTAAAGCAAATAGGTGTTAACTGACTTGTCCAGGGTCATATAGCTAGTAAGCATCTGCGGCTCCACATATGAACTCAGATCTTCCTAACTCCAAGCCTGGTGCTCTATCTACTGCAACCCCTAGCTGCCTCAATTTCCCATTTTCATTATTTACCTCCGCACTCTTTGCCCACAACAAAACAACAGACCTGATTTTCCCATTGTATTATCATAATTACCATAAGCTAAAAATCATGCCTTTTAAATTCTAGAAGAATAGCTAGTTACTAACATATAATATTAGAAGGTATAAGTGGCACAGGAGATAGACCACTGGACCTGAAGTCAGGGAAGACCTGCATTCAATTCCTGCCTCACACACTTACTACATGAATGACCTTGGGAAAAGCTCTGTGCCTCAGTTTCCTTATTTGTAAAATGAGGGGGCTGAACTCAGTAAGCTCTAATGTCCCTTCTAGCTCAAAATCTATGACTCTGTATCACACATATTAATTCTACTAAAGGGCAGTTACATCAAACTATACTAAAGCACTCTCTGGCTGTGAATTGGTTACTTTTTATTATCACTAATCACTTCAAAAGCAGGCATATAATATAATGACTTTCAGAAATACCAATTGCTCTGATTTTTAAATATTGAAGCAAACATAAGAGTTAGTGATTTTATTGAAATTGGAATGTTAACAAATTGCTAAGTAGTTATCACTTTAAATTATTTAGCCACACTATTCCAAATATCAGACTATTTTCCTTTTATATTAAATCACAGCATTTCTTCTTCAAGTATATCAAATTACAAAATAACCTAGTATTTTTTGGAAATCCAATTATATTTTCATTGTCTGCATTGAAAACAAAGGAAACAAATTTAAAACTCAAACTCATCAACACTTCTTTTATTAAGAGTATTGTATCACGATCTAAGATGATCTTATCTACTGTTTTCACTATCTGGTCCAGCTACTCATACAGCTTACAAGGTGAGACTAATTATACTGTGGATGGCAAGTTTTAAGAATTAGAAAGAAATTCATTAGGCACAAAGCATAATTATCAGCCAACATTATCCATTTCCTTTTTACTTTTGTTTTGGATCCTCCTAGTGTAAACACACTAACACACCAAACACATCTGATTGTCTGTTGTCTTATTCTTCGTGACTCCTTTTTTCAGGTTTTCTTGGCAAAGACACTGGAGTGTTTTGTCATTTCCTTTTCCAGACCATTTTACATATGGGGAAACCGAAGTAAACAGGGTTGTATCTTGCCCAGGGTCACACAGCTAGTAAACATCTGACTCCAAATTTGAACTCAAGAAGATGAGTATTCCTGACTCCAGGCTCTGTACACTGAACCACCTAACTGTCCACAAATTCATCTGACCTATGATCAAATAAATTCTTAGCCAGATTCATAAAATATGAAATAAGGGTAAAGACTGCCATCTTACCTGTTCTCCCATTCCAAAATATTAAAACCAATTTTTCTTGGCACAAACTACAGGATATGCAACTTGTCACACTAAAACACATGACGTCAAATATTTATAGGTTAGGTGGGATGTCAAATACAAAATCTGGGTTAGTCCATCTCTTGTGTGCCCAGCACCCTCTTGGGGAGGAGACTGGGTAAGGGAAGGAGATGTCATGTCATCTTTTACATATTCAGAACAGGAGGGAAGAGAAAGTTCTTAATTTTTGAGTGTAAGTTAGTCTCAAGCCAATCAACTTGCATTTGCATTATATTTTAATTTTGGCTATATGTGTATGGGGGGTAAGAAAGGGTAAGGAAGGACATGATGACATGCAAACAGGTTTATTTCTACATAGGTTTAAGGTCTGCAAATCACTTTGCATATATCATTTGATCCTCTCAACAACCCTATAAAGTGGGTACCATTATTATCTCTATTTCACACTAGGCCACAAAAAAAAGTATAAATACATTTGGAAAGCAATTTACACCCACACACCCACCTCTTTGTGTTGCCAAAGGACCATAGTTTGAATTGTGTTCAAGTAGTTGTGGCTGCCAAAATGTGTCAATGTTAACATCTAATACTACTGACCTTTTATACATAAAGTTAAAACTAAAGGAATGTTTTTATGGCTTAGCATGGTAATTTATACACTGTAGGTCTAAATAGCAGCTCAAAGATTTCTAAATTAGCTACGAAATTACTGTTGTGAGATGAGTGTTTTCAATGAAAATGAGTAATTGTATCTTCTTTTCCTTGGCTTTACTTAGGAAACCAAATAATATTATAACAAGTCTGAAATGAAGATGAAAAAAATTAATTTTAGATTGACAAAAGCAAAATTAGGTGGGCAAGATCTGATACTCACACATAAGAACGGGGCATGAGATGACAATGAATAACAGTGATTAAAAAATAAATCTTACTACCAATGTGACTTTGGGCTACTAGATACCTCTTTGGGTCAAGTTCTTCAACCAATACAATAAGGGGTTGTGGGAGGGAAAGCTGATGATCTCTAAGCTCATTTCCAGTTTGAATCTATTATCCAGCTATTTGAATGTTAAATGAATGGAAAAAAGAACAAGGCATTTAGTCATGTTTCACTTGATGTATACATTTAGAGCCATCCTAAAGACAAATGGGGCTTACCGTTTTATTTGGAGTTGTGATACACTGTAATTTGTTTGGTTTAGTGACTACCATTTGACCAAAGTACTATAGATTACATTTAGCTCTTAAAATGAATCAAGTATTTTAGTTTTGTTTGGAAAATTTTGAAAGATCTGTAAATAGAACTATTGGGATGTTACAAAACTAGTAATAAAAATCACAGCTTTGGAAAAATTCAGTGGTTAAATGGAAGAGACATAAGTACCTCTGCCTCAGAAATTTTCAATATTTCAAACTGTTTCAAAGCAGTATATGGTACCTAAAATAATGATCCTTCCTGCCCCTTCAAATGAACATACCATGTCAGTTAAGGAATCAAATTCCTATTAATTAAATGCCCTCCTAATATACTAAGTCCTTCACAAATCCTCTCCAGAAAAACTGGTCACCACTTCCCTTTGGAATCTAGGCATGGGAAATTCTATGGCCATTTTCTATCAAGTGCTCCAAATTAGAATAGGCATAATTAGATTTGCACAATACATGTGATCCAAAAAAGTCTGGACAACAAATAGAATTTTGGACATTTAAATGTAGTAGGAGTAGTATAAAGTAATTTTGCAGTGAATTTTGATTTAAAAGAAACATAATAGGGGCAGCTAGGTGGTGCAGTGGATAGAGCACCAGCCCTGAAGTCGGAAGGACCTGAATTCAAATACGGCCTCAGACCAAACACTTGACACTTCCTAGCTGTGTGACCCTGGGCAAGTCACTTAACCCCGATTGCCTAAAAAAAAAAATTTTTTTTTAAAAATCAGAAATGTAATAAAACTCTTACTAGGCATCTACCATATATAAAGCACTTAAGGAAATACGTTAAAGTTTTCCAAGCCATGGGATGCCCTCAGAAAGGGCATGAGACCTGGGTGGGCAAAAAATAACTTCACAAAACACATCCACTTTCTCCCAATGAAAAGGAAGTCCAGAGAGAGAAACTAACTGGTGATTTCACTCTAACAGCAAATGCAGAACAGTTATTATTTGATAAGGAATGTTCTAATGTGGTAAAATTTCAAGGGACATTTCAACTTGAGCGTAATCTGCCACAGAGACTGCTGCTGTGCCCTCATGATGCTTACCGCATCTGTACAAAAAAGAACTTTATTAGTGCACATTTACTGTGTTCCACCCACTGTGTTAAAATCTTGGGATACAAATTTGAGATGTAGTAGTCCTTGACTTCAAGGGACAATAAGACATATGAGAAGTGGTAGTCCAAAGAGAGTTGTTTGTTCTGGAATGCTGAGTGGGGCCAGAGGAGAGTAGAATAACATGGCTTCTCCTCTTCAGTAGCAATAGCATCACTAAAATGATTAGCTTTGCAAAGAGCTTGAAGGTGGAGGAGGAAGAGAGAGGGTAGACTCTTGTGGAAATACTCAAGAAGATGGCCTGTTTGTCAATCAAGTACTACTGGAGCCCCCTAGATGTAAGAGGCAATGTGAGGCACACAGTAATCCAGACGGTGCAGGCCACAGGCCAGAAGATACAGATCTGAAATAGTTAAGTTTCCCAGGGCATAGTCTCTAGTGTATAGATTTAAAGTTAAGCCATCTTTATGTGGATGTTACAAATGCCATTAAGATAACCTACATTTCTCAATCTCTTAAGATCATTAATCTCTTTCACCATCATTCATCTCGCTAAATGTAAGATAATAAACTTTGCTAAATAAAAGGATATATGAATGCTTCAAAAAAACTCT